CCCGGCTGGACCTCTCCCAGTCTCCTGCGGCTGTTCCTAAGGATACAGCTTCTCCTCAGGTGCCCTGGTCTCCTACAAAACCAGCACCTTCTTGCCGGACAGTTCACCGCCAAGTGGCCCACCTGACCACATGTCAAACATTTTGCTCTTTTTCTCTTCAACTGAGCTAACACTCGTTTATTCCCGGGGGTGGGGGGCTGTCCTCCACCCAAGCGGATCGCCCGACCACTGGTCCAGGCTTTTATTTCCCTTCCTTTTAACTGGGCCACCCTCCCTCTTAATTCCAGGGTGGCCGCTGGCTTTTCCCTGGTCTTGTCTCTTGGGCTCGGCCTTCTTTGTTAATATCGGTGGGGCACCTTTTGTCAGCTCGCACCACTTGGCCAGGTGTCCCTTCTTTCCACACCTGGTGCACCTGTCCTGTTCGAAGTCTGGGGGCAAACCCCACTTCGTCGGACATTCCGCCGCTCTGTGGTCCTCATGCCCACAAGCCCAGCAGACCAGCCCGTATCTACCCGGCGTGGGCTTATAGAACCCATGCCTGGTTGACCATGCCTTTCTATTGGGGTTTTCTTCCCACACCTCAGGCTCACCTACTTCCAGCTTGACCCTCCGATTCCACGCGAGGGGTCTTCCGCCTTCCCCCTTCTTCCGACCTCTTGACTTCTGTTTCCTTCCACACCTTTTCACCTTTTCCCATATGCCCTGGCTCTCCTTGGCCAGCTCTACTGCTGCCGATAGTCTCAGCGGTCCCTCTTTCAGCATGGGCCTGCATGACCGCATTGTCTCTCACCACTTCTGGGAAGGCCAATGATGACAGCTTCCCCGCTCGGGCCCCAATTCTCCAGGGGTTTCGTCCCGCAGCTGTGTCAGCTTTAGGAGGGCCCTCATGGCCTCTATAGCCGTGCCCTCGTTGGCGAACTCCTTGGTCAATAGTCCCTTTAATCTTTCCCAAGACCAGTGGGGCTCACTCTCCAAGAGCTCCTTCATAAATTCAGACGCTTTCCTCTTCGTGGCATCATATTCCAGATACAGGGTCTCCTGGTCTGTGAGTTCATATAGAACTCGGCTCTTCTCCAGGATTGCCAGCCAGTTTTTGAAATATCTCCCACTGCCGTCAAATGCTGGGACCCTCGGTCCACCCAACAACCTTCTTAGGTCAGCTGACAACCCCTGTATAACCCCCTCTTCATTCCCCACTGCTCTATCTGAATCATAGTCCGACATATTTAAAGAGAAAGACAATCTACGCAGCAACAATCGAGATTGGGAAATCAAACAAAGTGTCCTACCTTACAGACGATTCTGCTCTCGTTCCTCTCAGGTCCCGGATCGTTTTGAGTCCTCTTCGAAATTTCTCAGCAACAGCGGTCGGTCCAGGGTCCTGTCCTGCTGTCACGGTACCAATTGTGGCAGTGGCTGTTCCAGGGCCCTATCCTATGGTCACGGCACCAGTTGTGACGTCGTCCCCTGGTCGCAGCGCCAACTATGTCGTTCTATCCTGGTCACGGCACCAGTTGTGACGTCGTCCCCTGGTCGCAGCGCCAACTGTGACGTCCTATCCTGGTCTACCACGGCACCAACTGTGACGTCCTCGCCGCGGCGCCAGCTATTCGCTCCTCGCTGCTCCGTCCGGGTGTCGCTGTTCCAAACGTGACGTCCGCCTGTCGCGTCAGTCGTGTTGTCTCGTCCTGTGACGACCAACTGGCTTGGTATCGGTCGCGGCACCCAAATGTGACTTTCTAACCTTTTGGTGATTCGGGTGGGAATCTGGTTAGATTTGATATCAGCCTCGTCGTTACCAACTCGCTTCCAAAGTAACTGCATTGATCTCCAGTCCGCCTACCCATGTTGTGAATTGATCTTAGGCAGACGAGATCAATCAGTAGTTGGGGCCGTAATGCAAATCGGGTTCAACGGGGGTGACACCACACAAATATGCATAAAAGAAAATAAAATGAAAACTCAAAAGTTCAAGATATCAAAGAAAAAGATAACAAACTTTATGTTTAGTTGTTCGATACATAGGACTGCGTCTATTTCCCGACCCGTTCTATGGATTGTGACACGTTGTTTTCCGTTAGGCGAGTTTTAACGCTTCAAGTTGTTTGCTCTTTAAGAAATTGGTTTTTCGGTGTGTCTTCGGACGAAAGTCGAAAAAAAACTTATTTTGGTGGTCTGGATCTAAGTCGCTCTTCAAAATAATTGTTCTTGGATTGAAGAGGAGTCCGGAATTTGCGCGAATCTTGCAAGTCAGCTATCTGCGAGGCGGAAGACTCTCGAACCGAACTAGAACTCAACTCGAACTTAACTGCAACCCTTCTCTAACTCTGCTCAACTCAACTGATTTCTGCTCGCTGCGGCTTCGCTTATATGGACGCCGACCAAAACCGGGGTGGGTTTGTCGGCGTCGGGGGTTCCTCGATAATTCTAATTACATATCCACCTCTCTGGTTAGGAATTTCCACTTTTTTCCATTTTTGGGAGCCTTTTCTTACTCCCACCTTCTCACCATACTTCAGAGGGGCGTGAGCTGCCCTCTTCGTAGCAGCTTCTCATACGAGCCGCTATCCATTACTCCACCGTATTTAAAACTGAAGCGTATTTTGGATTAAAAGGATAATTCTATTTTTGTGGGTGAATATTGCATTAACAATTTATTTTAGAATACCAATGATTTTTCAACATTACTGATTAACCCATAGCATTAAGTGGATCTATGCCACACCCAAAGGTATTGGCTTAAGTATTTGATATTTTTGCTTTAATTCTCTCTGTAATAGTATTTCTCAATACATAATATCTTGGTATAAATAGAAGAGAAGTTGATAGAATGTAGAAAGTATCAAAATTTCATCCCATCCAAGCCTCGAGAGCTACTCAAGGTAGACGTCTACAGTCAAAATGTTAATAATAAAAGATGTGTGTGATATAAACAGAAGAGATGTTGGCATGACGTGGATATTGATATTAACAGTTCACCACCTTAATTTTTCGTTTCTTAATATGTTGTTTAATTTCTGGAAGGCATCTTTCGCTATTCCAGTGCGCCTTTCCGTATTTTTTTTTTTTTTAGTTTAGTACTAAAGTTATTGCTAGACTTGTTTCTGGATTTGTACTAAATGGACCACGGATCGAACTCTCAAACATTATGCTATTAAATTTAAGTGTGGATGTCTTAATCCTATGTGATAATCATAGTGATTTTTCTAAGCGTAGTTTAGATGTGACACAAGGACGAAAGAATGGAGCAGTCAGTGAGGATCGAAATTACTAGCTGCGGCAATCTTGAATCAAGAACTAAGATATCTCTAGATATGCTCAGTGAAACGACAACAATCTGGTCCCAGAGATTGAATAACGAGTTCAATTCGAAAATTCTCTGAAGGTTACTCAAATTGACACATGATGAAGGCGGAAGGGCACGATGGTCGAAACGTTGTGATAATAGTAACAAAGATGAGGACATTAATCCGAATGTAAATAATGATTCGGACAGAAACAATAATTACTGTAAGTATTTGGGAATATGGCGTGACATATTTCACCAAGTATTGCGCTGTGGCTTGTGCTTCCGGTCGGGGGTAACCGGATAAGGGTTAAATAATTGTTACTTGCTGTGTTTTGCAAATTTGTTGCAGTGACTTTAGAGCAGACTCATTTATATGAGTAAAGTATCTGAATTTCCCCGAGCGCAAAAACATTGTCGGAGATTCAACAACGGATATATTTGTATCTCGAGGGCTACAAAAAAGCAAAACAAAAAATAAAAAAGAGACAAAGCAGATAGAATAGATAAAAAACAAAAAAAAACAAAAGCAAACAAAAAAAAAAACACTAAAATAAAAAGAAGAAAAAATACATCAGAAGAAAAAAGATAAAACATGCAAAAATATGTCTGGGTAGTCATTAAAAGATCCAATTGCCGGTATGTGTAACCCCCCCCCAAAAAAAACAAACAAACAAAAACAAAAAACAAAAACAAACACCCCCCCAAAAAAAACATAACAAAACAAAACAAAACGGAAGAAAAAAATCTCTTGAAGAAAGCATTCATGCATTTTGACAGATATTATCTGGAAAAACAAAATAAACAATAACAAACAACTGCAGGATGAATACTGAATTATTTTTCAGTTGCTCCCCATTTTTTATCATTACACTCAAGTTATACATCTTTATTTCTTTGAGATCTTTAAAAAAAAACAAACTGGAATAGACATTTTAAAGGGTTTTAATCTGCCGCAGATGTGACGGGATTTGGTAGTGATAAACAGAACAAAAAAAATAAAGAACCGAAAAAAAAAAATGCCGCATACTGCAATGATTTTGATGACTAGGCCAGAACTTTTCTACCCATTTGGCAAATATAGCCAAAGAATTTTAAGGATTATATCAAATAGGATAACTTATCTGTGGGGTCAGTTTGCTTGTAAGGTACAAGATAAGCATTAGTACTTATGGTGAAAACATCAAAAACTAGTACAGCAAAGTACTGATATTAAATTAGTTCATAACTAGTCTATGAATGAAAATTTTAATTCATCTTGGTCTTTCGGAAGAAAATGGTAACTAGTAAGACGCTTATTCTGAAATTTTCTGTGATACATTATAAGGAAAGACAGCTTGGAAAAGTTAACACTCGCGAGACATAGTTAAGAAAAGAGTGATAATGAGTAACAGCGATAAGTTTGGGTGACTAGATGTCGGAGCGGCGATAAGGAAGGATAGTTGATTCATTCATTTTCTATGCCTTATCAACCCGTTGCAGGTTATTTAAAGCCAGAAAATTCTTTTAGATTATGAGAGTTATTTAGACAATAATAATTGAGTGACACTATTCTTACTAATTAACCCATAGCTCGGGGAGAAGCGGTGGATTCATACCTTTTCCAAGGACATTGAGCATTAAGCGAATATAACGAACCCAACTAGAATTAGAATTAGATGCTCCGATTAACAATTCAAAGTCATTATCCATTACACCACCCACACACCCAAGCTTACAGGACGGGGCATTCCCAAGTGGTCACCCATCTAGGTACTGATCAGGCTCGACATTGCTTAACTTCGGCGATTCTGCGGGAACCGGTTTTTCAACGTGATATGACTGTAAGCCCAAAGAAGGATGATAAATAGTCAATCGATACTTAGAGCAACAAGAAACAGTTGTGGACAGCCTTAATTACCCAGGTTATGAAGAGACAGAGTATATAAAAGAAGATGGTGGACAAGTCTGCTTGTTACTGCAAAATGTTTCCTTACTTACTGGGTGCTTTATGACTGTGGCTTTGTTTCAAAGTTGGCTTTGTCTACTAAATAAGAAAGCCCACACCACTAATACCAAAATGTCTCTCCGTGTCTCTCAATCAAAACATTCAGACTTATTCAGTAACTATCTACTTCAAGGTAGTCCTGGGTATGACGATAAACTACATCCGGCAGCATGGCTTCTGATCAGGAGACTGGATGTTTTAAGGAGCACGGGACCACCTCTTAATTACTGTTGTTCCCAGGTCCACTTTGACCTGGGGGTGGTAGCACCTGATAGGGCCCCAGATATGGGTAAATAGTGAACCTCTAAACAAAAACAAAATACTATGAAAGTATAAAAATACATTTTATGATAAAAATACCAGCAATATATTTTATGTAAAAAATTACCAACAGTACCTATATCTAGTAGAATTACCAGCAATACCTATTTACACGAAAATAACCAGCAATACATATTATAGTAGAATTGCCAACAATACATTTTATAGCAAAATGACAAACAATACCTTTTATTTGTCGTTGAAACCATACAATTGTTTTCAAAATATTTAGACTTCAACATTAAATAACCCATAGAGGTTATACCGCTAAACAAAATCAACCAAACAAAATCTAGTTCAAGTGGCTCTTGAGTAAAAAAAAAAGTTAGTGAAAAAATGACAAATAAAAACCAAACCAAAACAAAGCAAAATAATGTACAGAATAAAGAACTGATTTTCGAAAGTTTTTATTACGTTTACTGTTCAATAAACTACTGTTTTGTATAAACATTTGCAAATAAAATGGAAATGTTACAGATGGCGCAAAAGTGTCATTAAAACCATTTGAACATGGCTGACACTAGCACGCCTGAAATACCGGTTAGGTACAACTTCGCATTTAGTGACCAGTTCGTTGGAACGAAACTGGGTCGTGAAGTATTGTGTGGGAGAACATTTCTCTACAAGTTTGGACTCGGCCGTCGGACGAACGCTATAAAAATACTCCTGCATCAAGAGGAGTAGCAGAAGGAGCAGTAGTATCAGTAGCTTTTACTGAAAAGTTAGTCATTCACGGCTAAACATTCTCTTCCCTAGTTTCTATTCTACATTATATTTCCTTGTACCAAAAGGTAACTTGTTGTTAAAGCAATTCTGGTTTTCTATTTTCTATTGTTCTTTTTGATAACTCAGTTATAACATTAAGTGAAGAGTGTATGTATTTCTATTTTTTTCAGTTATTTCTCAGAATAATATATAAATATTGTTTCAGGTTAACGAAGTCTTAAACGATCAAGTCGAACCCAAGTTGTATGCAATAAAAGTCGAAATGTACAATTTTAGATTTCTTTTACTCTTTCTGTCTTTCATTAAGCTTTGTGTTAAAACGACATTTAGACATTAAATCGATCTGTATTGACAACCACCAGACCACAAAGTGATTCAGAGAGAGACCATTAAGTCACGCAATAGTTTCTGTCGAATTATCTGAACGATTGTTTAAAAATTGTCCACTGCTACATATATATATATATATATATATATATATATATATATATATATATATATACTGAAAAAAAACAACAAGAATGTTGGCGTGACCAACAAATTGCCAAAAAGGCCTAATACATTAGACAAGAAAAATGCCGAACAAGGAAATAGAGACCAAAACAACAATAGGCAAACACTTACCTACACACTAAATTAAAGTGGTCAACACCTAGACTGTCTAGACACAGCGAAAAACTCTTCACGACGCCAACACTCATATATATATATATATATATATATATATATATATATATATATATATATATATATATATACAGCTGAAGAAATGAAAACATAGACAAAAAGGAAAATTTTATGAACGTCTGCGTGTAAAAACGTTAAATACATGAATGCGCACGTGTAAAAAAACGAAGTAAAAAGCGGATTTAAAAAGACGCGGAACAAAGTGAAGACATTGAAAAAAATTGGAAATACCTTTTAAGACCCCAACCACAAACTCTGAAGTCTGGAAATTTTACCAAGAAACATCGATGTTAGGGTAAAATTGATATTTATAAGTTAAGTAATCTTTTCATATAATATTAATAGTATATATATATATATATATATATATATATATGCTTGAACGCAATCTTCAGGCCACGAAGATTGCGTTCAAGTATGACGCCTCTTGATCTTGTTCTTATTGTTCAGAGAGAGAGAGAGAGAGAGAGAGAGAGAGAGGGGGGAGAGAGAG